GACGGACAGACAGACACAGGTGAATTACGGTTTCTAGACCCTATCCTTTCAGTCTAGGGAACAAATTCGAAACAACAAGAATGAACGAAACACAAATTATCATATAACATGGAATGATGACTGTGTAAAATCATTCGAAACACTTAAACAGAAATTAATTAATAGTCCAATTATGAACACACCAAATTTTCAACATCCATTTATCCTCGAAGTAGATGCATGTGCATATGGATTAGGAGCTGTACTCGCTCAAGAATATAATGGAGAAAAATTCGTCATTGCATATGCAAGTCGTACGTTATCATCGGCAGAACGAAATTATAGCTCCACTGAACGAGAAGCTCTTGCAATAGTTTGGGCAACAAAACATTTCCGTCCATATCTTGAAGGAATGGAAATATTTATTCGTACCGATTGTCAAGCTCTTCAATGGTTAAAAGAATCAAAAGATGTTACAGGTAGACTAGCTCGATGGGCTATGCATCTCGCAGCATTTCAAATCAAAGAAATTAAATACAGACCTGGTGCTACCAATACAAATTCAGATCCTCTCTCAAGATATCCACAAGAAGAATCATCATTAAATAATCAATGTGAAGTGACAGAAATTGACACAATAATTAATATTTGGGAAAACACAAACATGTTAGATGAAATTCGTGAAGAACAACAAAAAGATAAGCAACTTAAACAAATTATCGACAATCTTCTTAAACAATCTACGCCAACATTCAGTTCAAGTCGTTCACCTTACGTACTTGTCAATGGTCTGTTATATAAAATTCGTCAAACAATAAAAAACCAAGATCATCGTGTTATCAGTAACAAGCATCTGCTCGTTATCCCAACGTCGATGCAAGATAAGCTTATCACGTGGGCACATGATCACCCGATGGCAGGACATGCCGGACGAACAAAAACAATACATCGTTTAATTTCTCGAGTTTACTGGATCACAATGAGAAAAGATGTACACAAATATGTACAACACTGCACTCTCTGCCAACAGTTCAAATACAACAACCAGCCAATGTCAATGCCCATGAAAATGCACTTAGTGACAGAACCATGGCACACCATAGGCATCGATATTATGGGACCATTTCCCATCACTCAACGACAAAAACAATTCTTGCTTGTTATCGTCGATTATTTTACTCGATGGGTAGAATTGTTTCCACTACGAACAACAACGGCTGATGTTATTGCAAATGTAATTATCAATGAAGTATTCTGTCGATACGGAATGCCTACATTTATTTTGTCTGATAATGGACCTCAATTTATTGCTGATCTCTTCACTGAAACATGTAAAGCACTTGGTATTCGAAGAAAATTAACAGCTGCATATCATGCACAAACAAATATGACTGAACGGGTTAATCGCACATTAAAGCAACAAATACGAATTTATGCTCTACAGAACCATAAATTATGGGATAAAGAAATACAAAAATTAGCATTCGCAATCCGAACTTCAGTCAATGAAACAACCGGAGAAACACCTGGCTTCCTTAACTTTGGACGAGACCTCAAAATTCCTCTCGATCTAATTATTGGAGAGAAGGTTCAAGGATCACCAACTGATCTCCCAAACAATAATGTTATCCAACAATACAAGTCGAATTTAATTGACAACCTTAAAAAAGCATTTAATATTGCACGAGAATATGCAGAAGTGCAAAAATGGCAACAAAAAAGTCAATATGATAAACACACTACTAGTAGACAATTCGAAGTTGGACAACTTGTTTGGGTAACAGTACCAGCTGGACAAATCTCTGGACATAATCTATCAGGCAAGATGAGCGCCCCATTTCAAGGGCCATGTAAAATCATGGAGAAGATCTCATCGTCAACATTCATCGTTAAACGTCTTTCAGATAATGTTAACTTAGGTACTGTCAATGCGGACAGAATGAAACCATTTTATGATAGACAACAACACAACCGCTCCGATTCAAAATTAATGTTGGACGAAGGTGATCGTACCCCGAAAAATGCAAAGATAATCCATTCCAATAATCAAGATTCATTAATATCAACAGCCGTTAGAGCATCAAGCCGGAACCATCGAGCGCCGGCACGCTACGGCCATTAATACTTATGACACTTAATGCATCAACGTAATCTTGTCATTTTATCAAAAGACGACCAGTGGCAGGTGAAAAGGTGCAAATAAACAAAAAGTCGTCATTTTAAAAAACAATTGGAATGAAAAGCGTCAAGAAAAGATGCGCGTCGCTCGAAGCAATCGGTCACCTCAGACAAAGACACAATGAACACAATAACCATTTAAACGTATCCAGTGGGCGTGCATCGGGTAGATCCATTAGATCACACGACTTAACGGATAGATTCAACCCCGATACAATCAAATAACACGAAGACAATGGATGGAAAGCGATAATATCTCAGCAAACCTTTCATAAGAAAAAGAAAAATAACCGAACGGATGACCAAATATAAATGATCGCATTCGTTCTTCATTTTTCACCTGCATCATTAAACAATATCGCCACACAGACGGTATCATTTAACATAATTTAAACGCAAACATGAGCTGTATCATAAAGAAGAAAAATATTATTTGGATATGGGGCGCTGTTCTACTTAATATGAATTTAGTACACTTGCAATTAATATCAAATATAAACACAACTGGACTTATTATTACAGCACCAAATGCAGGCATTGTTCTGTTACACAAGGGACATTACATACCATCGGATCATGTTATTTACAATACCGCAATGTTTCCAATGACGACAAACACCTGTTATCTGTTACCAATTAGGGAAGCAAGAAAAATTCCAGCCTGTAAGGATTTTGCAATACTCACTCGACATAAACGCCTCATAACAGATATTATCACAATTGGGACATCAGCGCTCGCACTTGGAACTGCCACTGCAAGCATGATTCTGACAAAAAATCTTGAGAAAAAAGTAAATCAATTCCAACACAACATTAAAATAATTGCGGACCGCCTCGAACTTGGCGAAGCTCGTATGATTCAATTTGAGAAAAACCAAATGCAACTAGGAATGATCCTACAGCAATCAGAAAATCTACTCAATTCAACAATAAACCAAGTAAATCAGCATTCATCAACGTTAGAGGCTTTTCAAAAACAGCTCAACGATTATCAGCAAAATCTACTTACACTTCAACATCGCGTTATAGAAAATAATCAAGACACTGTACATCGATTCCTGTCTTTAGCGATTCATGATATTATCAACAACAAACCAACATTAGGATTCTTGCACCCATCCGATTTGCAGTTAGTGATTAAAACAATACTACAAGAGAACAACGTCACAGTATCGAACATGGCTGAACAAATTCCAATGGTTGAACTGATCACTAAGCTAATTATACGACAGCAAATCGACTTTGTACCAGCAGAACTTTATTCCGATATAAACAACATCGAAATCGGAAAATTAACATTTACCACATTTTATGCAATGCCCAATGACCAAAAACCTCATTTCAACATATATAAAGTGATTACTGGCCCATTCATTCATAACAACAAAGTGGTTCGATTAGCACAAATGCCATCGTACATTGGAATTAATCAAAAAAGCAACTCCAGTATTACCTGGACCAGTGACGATTTATCAACATGCACATTCGACCAAATAACGACTTGCCGAGAAACACCAGCCGAAAAACCTCTTGGATTGGGAAACACGTGTCTTGAACAAATTTTGGACGGAACAAAATTAATAAGCTGTCGTACAGAAGAAACAAAACTTGATTTACCACACATTCAACAAATACAAAGCGGTCAATGGCTAATCTCAACCAACAATACATATCTCCATTGAATCCGGGTGCCAACACAACCAATACTAACAAGTAGAACAAAAATATGGAGCGAAAATTCGCAAGTGATCGTTCCACCAGTCGCTCTCATTTCAGTTCCTAATGGAACGACCATTCACTGCCCTGGCTTTAACCTGCCCGGTTCAATAATACCTGATACCAAAGCTATTATAAATATTATCAAAAATTTATCACAAATAGAAGAAAATGAGGAAATTATTGATATGCATAAAGAGTTAAATTCGAATGCAACATGGGAAAAATTACCATATGTTAGTGGTGATGTCGATGCACTAATACAACACATGTTATCTCAAACAACGCAGGTGAGCAGACACATATACATGACACCACCCGATAATCAAGATTCGAAACAATTTCCGATATTACACTATATCGTTATCGGAATACTGGTCGTCGTGATCATCATCGCTCTTGTCACATGGTGTATAAAACGGTCGGCTGCCAGCAAAATTACAATAGCCCTGCCTTCCTTAATCGGCTGAATAAAATAATGTACAAGATAGATGTTAGTCAAAACTGACTTTAAACTCACTCGCTGTTTTGTTTTGTATACAATTTTCTTTCTGTTCTCATACTTTCTTTAATCATAATTAGTGCTTCACTTAACATATTAGCTATTAGCTTCATTTGTTTTTTTTTTCTTTTCTTTTTTGCTAATCGTCAAGGAAGACGATATATATTCACATGTGTAGTACTGTAACAACTTTTCCTGTTCGTAGGCAACATTGTACATGTCCTGTTTCTGTTTTATGTTTGTCTATTCTCTCACACTATCTCAATGTTAACCTTCCTCATCATCAACTACTTTCGTGCGCGTAATGTAAACTCTACTTTATTGTGCGTTCAGGTGCACGCCTGTTTGGGAGGGGGGTGATGTGACCAATCACATAACATCACTCTCTCAAGCAGGTAGTCACCAATAGGATATCATCTGTATTCTCTCTATTCTCTGTGTTCGGTTATATATATATACCTCTACCTAAGAAGGAAGCGGTGGTTCAGTTAATAATAATAAACAAAGGCACGAAAGGTACACTGGGAAAAAAAATAGCACCACACGAAACCATTTTTGACACGAATTCTAAACCCTCAAAAAGGTTTCGTAAAAACTCAAGATAGTCTCAAAATTACTATCAAGAGTCCAGGAAACTTTTTCGAAGGTTTTGTGGAAAACCTACGAAACCTTAAAAAGGTTCAGAATTCGTTTCAAATCTCGAAACCCTTTTTAAGTTTCGTAGTACCTGCGAAACCATTTTAAAGTTCAGTGAGAGAATTAAAAACCTTCTTGGTTCCGTGTGGTGCTATTTTTTTTTTCAGTGTAGAGAAAACCGTTACAGTGACATTACAATATATTTTTCGGATTGGGTAACATCAACAGGCGAGAAGTAGACGGTATCGGCAGATGATAATTCTACTTTGGCTTGAACTGTATATGATTCACGTGGCGGTATATGAATTACATTAATTGATTTGACATCTAAAGTTAAAGAATCAATGCATTTGTGATATGGAATAAATATACGGCCATTTGATGAGCGTATAGACACTTGATTTTTTTTATAATCGATTCGTGCTGCATTACTTGTACACCAATCACTACCAAGTATAAAAAATCAGTATTCATGGTTTTGACAACGAGAACATTTAAACGGGTAAAAACTTTATCAAATTGTGATAATAATTGAACTTCACCCACTATTTTAAGCAGGGTCTGACCATCACCTAATTGAGCTATACGATCACATGGTGGTATTGCTGAATGATATAATGTGCTGAATGCACCTTGGGTAATAAATGAATGAGTGGCTCCAGTATCTATCATAGCACGTAGACGTGATCCATTGATGAGGGTATTGATAAAAATTAATGATGGATTAGATTTTTTAATATTTTGATTTCTAGCAGTGCGTTGTTCGATGGGTTTAACAAAATGCTGTCGAGAGTAATTAATTGGAAGATATTTACGATATGGTACCGAATAAGTCGGATATGCTATTGTGTGGCGATTAGTACGGTAACGAAAATATGGAATAAATCGATGATGTATATTCGATTTTGGTACGGAATAGTTATTGTATGTTGATAAAGAAAATAATGATGGGCGTGAGGGGAGGGAGTCACTACCATCATGTGACTCCCTTAGTAGTTTTTTGCAGATCGGCAATCACGAGCAAAATGACCCAGTTTATTGCATAGATAACATCGTAAAGGACGTGATTGGTAATGTAATGCATTAAACGAAGATGGTTGAGCTTGTGATGGATAACGTGGTGATGATTGATTAGGAAAACGATTATATACCGGCCGAGGTGAATATCCGTTTGTAGAATAACCTCCAGAATACATATTGGATGAGTTTGGATGACGTATAGCTTCAGCCGATTGTGTAGATCTATACGATGAACTGTTAGAGTAATTTATTGCTTGTGTATCATTATCATGTGGTTGATTAAGAGATGTAGAAACGAGACGATCTAAATTTTCTTCACATCGTGCTTGTTCTAAATAATCTGCTGGTGTGGATGGAGCTTCACGTAATACGTCTTTCATTAACGACGGTTTTAATCCATGATATAAATGATCAAGTTTGGATGCATCTGTCATGTTTGGATCAACTAATTTACATAATTTAATAACATCTGTGTAATATTCAATAACAGTTTCATCATATCGTTGTTGCCGACTTCGTAAGCGATTCGATGCTAATTGTTTCGATGATGGAGATGAAGAAATATGAAGAAATTGAGTTTTAAATACATTCCATGATTCGAATATTGTAGTATTTTCATTAAACCATTGTTTGGGATGTCCTTCCTAAAATGTTGGGATGATTTTTAATGCTTGTGATTCTGTAATATCAGCCATCTGAAATGTAGCAGTTAAATCCTTCATCCATTCATCAGCATCTTGATCTGGTTTACCAGAATATTTAGGAATCTGTTCCGAAGTTTTACTAAGAATATTTGCGACGGTTTTCGCTGCCATGATTAATTCTGTTGGACGTTCAGCAAAAGTAATATCAATATCGGATAATCTTTGAAATTCAGCTTCAAGGAGTCGTTTTGCACCTTGTCGTGTTAACATACACTAATTATATGAATAATGATTAACCCCGGCTTGTGCAACAAATTGTTAGGTCCTTCTCCTTTGTTTATTCCTTCTTCCCGTTATGCATCGAGAACCACCAGATCGCTAAAGCCCGGTNTTTTCTCTTAAAAACCTCTTAAACGTTTCTAAGATCAGTCCGGAAACCCTTTTGGGCATAAAATACCCCGGAAACCTTTTTTTGTGGGTTTCCAAGAAAACGATTTTTATTTAGAGTGTATGATAGAGGGATAAAGATGGCCGTCTTATGTCAGGAGATGTCTCTACTGACATAACAAAGGGTTTTCGAGATATGTTCGGAAACCAAGCCAGTGTTCTGGCATACGCTTTCAACGTTTCCGAAAAAAAGTTGTCGAAAACCGAAAGGTTGCTGACGACACGCTTGAAGTTTCCGAGAAGGTTTTCAAAACAAAAACGGTTTCCGAGGATAACTTTTGGGTTTCGAAAATTGTTTAATGGTTTGCGAGAAAACTGTTAAAGGTTTCCTATCCAAATTCTCGAAAACCGAACCGTTTCGGGGAACTCGGAAACCTGTAAGATGATTTCAAAAACTCACCTTAGAGCCGAAAACCTTTCCGAAAACGTTTGTGAGTTTCCGAAAGGGTTTGCGAAGGGATTTCGGTTTCCGGGGAAACGCTTTTTATTTAGAGTGTAATACCGGAACAGAGGATATTACAAAGAAATGGAAACACAAATATGTGAACAATAAAGGATGTCCATGCGTTATTGGCATACTCGGGTTTCCCACAATGCCGATTTCGATGCCCTTAAGGTATTCTACAATAACGTTTAGGTTTCCGAGTCCATTATTCGCAAACACTTTCGGTTTTCAAGCCTACTGAATGTCCAAAAAATATTCTGGAAAACCAAAATCAGTTTCCGCATTTTTTTCAATTTGTAGAAGATTTTCATACTTCTAAAAATGTTCAATATTTCAGAAAACAGGACATGGTCCAAGTTCAAAATATCTCAGAAGGAAAATTTCTCTGATCAACCTGGACCGATCCATATTCCAGACTACAAAGTTCGACATTTTATTTCAACTCTGTTCTCAATTCTGATGAAAATGTAGAATAAGTTATCGAGGTCCAGGAATCAGAATCCGTCATCATTTTTTTGATTTGAGCTCCCATTGGTCAGAAATTGGGTTCATTAAAAATTCCGCGGCTGCTGAGTTAGACATTTTATTTCAGCTCCGTTCTCAATTCTGATGACAGTTTAAAATAGGTTATCGAGGTCCAGGAATCGGAATCCGTCATCTTGTTTTTGATTCTAGCTTCCATCGATCAGAAATTGGACTGATCGGAAATGAGGTTTTTTATTCTTATATTGAACTTTTTCTCTAAGGATTCGTGTATACATTGGCTGAGTATATATTATCATCTCATAATCTCGTAATATTTTTCTACGTCAGAGGAGTTTAACAATTGAAGATGATGTGGGCATTGATGGTTTGATTTCTTTTAGATTTAGAATCCGGGAGACATTTCTATGGCTATTGAGGGACATAATTTATGTAATGGTCCTATCGGTATCAGCATCAACAGAAAATACATCTGTGTTGTGCATTCGTGGGTTCAGTGAGGCGAATGACGATGGTTACTTGTTTTGTTTCAGTTTGGATCAAACGGCAGATGAACAAATGTTAATGGTAAGTTCGATTTTAATAGTTAAAAGCTGATGAAATATGTTATTTCTTTTTAGATTCAACATCTCATGCCGATCGTTCTTTTCGACGGATCCTGGAGACATTGATAGGAAAGACGCCTGAAAACCACTATGTCCTGTAGGAAAACAGATGATATCATTGAAACATGGTAGCAGTGTTGCGGCCGCAAACTTTCTGGATTTTTCTGATGATTTACCGACCAACTTGCTGTGTTATTCAGCAAAATGCACCGGAAATCGTGAGAAAAAACTTGGAAAACTTAACGGGCGCGATACTGCTTCCATGTCCCAGCGATATCGTGTGTTTCCCTACAGGGTACGGTGATTTCCAGGCGGCTATCCTGTTGGCTTCTGTAGCATCCGGTGGGCGGAACGATCGACCGGGCTTTAGCGATCTGGTGGTTCTCGATGCATAACGGGAAGAAGGAAATCTCGGAAGCCTTTCATCCGTTCCCGATATTGGTATCCGAGGGAAATTTTTATTTGGTTCCTCGGTTTTCGAGACCTCGGAAACCATGTCTGGGAAACCCGTAAAGGGTTTCCGATTTTGTTACTATCGGAAACCTATTTTGAGTTTCCTAGAATACTTTTTTTTTTAGAGAGTGCTAGGATGAAGATTTTTATTTTTTGATAAAATTCTAAGTTCACAAAAAAATGAAATGAATGAAGTATAATTAGTTATAAAATTAGTAAAAAGGAAATATTTCTTTATGCAAAAGTTTATTTCTTTCGTTTGACTATGATGAGTGAGAAGCCATCTAGTAATTGATCAACATAGATTTCAAAAAGCTTTCTGCATATTCGTATGTGTATATGCATATTGCATTTATTTATTTCCGCAGATCCAATATGTTTTAACACTGTTTCATTATTTACTCGATATACATAATTATTTAAAACTAGCAGAGGATTACCTTTATTAATGATAGTAAAAGACACGCTACTGGTATATGATACCTTTAAAAATTATACTAAATTAACAGCATGTGATATGTAATAAAAAAACCAGGATATAGCGTATCTTTATTTTATTTATATATATTTTTTCTTTCTTCGTGCTCATTCCTTCAGCTAGATTCTACGATGATAGTATTGACGAAACGTTCTAGTAAGTGAAAATAGATAACACAAGAAAACGAAGGAACAAGATATCACTTACTAAATTTTAAATTGTTTTTTCCAATTTATGGGAAAATATATTCTTCGCTATTTTCATATGATCGACATATTATTTTTCGCTATTATTGTGTGCGACATTTAGTTTTTGACATATTTTCTATCGACATTTTTTCTTTCGTTCTTTTTTATTCGCTCTTTTTTCTTTCGCTCATTTTAATGCTATTCCAATTTTCAAATCTACGAGCATCAACAGTTACAAGATACATTGATTTCGAATCTATTTACAACTTTAACAGACTTCTTACAATTTTGAGCGGAATAATAAAAGGTTCCCAAATACTCATACAATTTATCAGGAGGTGATTATTCGGTTAAAGAGAATTCTAGCTGATAAGTCTGACAAAAGTCTTAATGTTTGCAAGAAACTGCTGAAACACTTGGTGCACACGAGAAATTTTCATGAAACCTATCCATTATCTTAGAGTTTAAATATAGGGATGCGCGGCGTCAGTGGCAACATCGAAAAAAACGTCAATTTTGTCACCGATAATGATTCTCACTGCAGACTGATAGCTTCAATGCCACTGACCACCGAAATATCGATCACACTGACGCCGACATCACTGATTTGCTGATACCATCGGCGTCACTGGTAAGCCAGGCACACTGACTTCACTGATATCTCTTAATTAATTATTACATAATACTGTAAGACATATGCTTTAAATAAACAACGAGTGATCATAAAGTAGAAGCATGTTTGTTTTGTCAAAGATTTTCGCTAATAACTTTTTGATCTAATTCTTCAACGAAAATGTATTAATTTTCTTCACATTTCTAATACTCTAACCATTCATTTTCCTGAAAAATATATGCATCTACTTCATGATCATTCGTCGTTTATTTAAAGCACATGTCTTACAGTATTATGTAACAATTAATTAAGAGATATCCGGGAAGTCAGTGTGCCTGGCTTACCAGTGACGCCGATGGTATCAGCACATCAGTGATGTCGGCGTCAGTGTGATCAATATTTCGGTGGTCAGTGGCGCTGAACCCATCACTGTGCACTGAGCATCGCTGTCGGTGTCTATCGGTGTTCAGTAAATGCACACCGCACATGTCTATTTAAATACCATCTACGCCATGGACTATGTAGAAATGCTTCATGAAATGAAGTATAGTGCAATATTTCAACAAACCAAACCTATTTTATGCTAAGTTTTCCGTAAGCAATGAAACAACAATACAGACAGGTGAGTGACTAGTCGTTCGTCGGCGCCCCTACGGGGTAACACTCACGTCTAGCCGTTTCCACAAAATACGAAATGCGTAAAAAAAAGTCGGTTAATAGCCACTCCTGTAAGACCTTAAATATAGACAGAATATGTCTACCATTAGCACCATCAGTGAGTCCCACACTTTCGAAAGGATGTGGGTGTGAATGTGAGTGGTAATGTAGTTCCTCTCTCATGCACAACCATACCCACGCCACCCACACCAACACCCAGTTATGAGTACAGTAGTGGGTTCTAATAAACCGGTCAATCACCAGTCAATTAGTCTATTCAGATCTATTAGGAGACCCAATTCTTTGAGTCTAGGAATTTCATTCTATCGCAATGCATTATACTTAGATCAAGATTTGACACCACCATGAATAATGTATGTTGAAGGGCTGATTTCCCAGTCCGAGCAACCTGTCCGCCAACAGTTTTGAATAAATTCGGAGAAGCGAAACTTATGCCAGACCCGCTTGGTTAACTGAAATTGATCTTGTGTATCCACAGAGAAGAAGAAATTGAAAATATCCAGATCATAGCCTAGGGTACGGTTAGAATTGAATGGAATAGCTTCCCAAACAGTTTTTAAATACTCCAGGAAGGATGACGATAGATGATAGATGGCATTTCCATTAATATGTAGAAAATGTAAATTAATTGGCATTGTACCACGATAGATCGAGCCCAACATCCACCAATCTGTGGAAAAATAGTTTAGGTCAGGATGTCCTTGTGTGATTTGATTGATTATGGCGTCCAACCAATTTGCACGAATGGGCCGAGTATCCGCCTCCATGAGGAAAAAATGTGTGAAACCAAAAGAACGCAGTGCGGTAGGACTTTCATCCAAGAGTAGTTTTTGCCACATATATGCGCTTCCAGCAGGATATATATTTTGAGTGCTTGTAAGTTCAGCAGCCAAGACACGAACCGCCCGATAACAACGAGACACGAAATCAAACTTTTGCAAAGACTGTCCCATTTCGTTGTTCAATGATGAGTTCTTAGCCTCATTATGATAGAAGATGAGCTCAGCAGAGTAGTTAGAACGTAAGCGACACGGGGAATGAATATTGCTGATAGCCAATTGTGCGACCACAGCGTTCAACTGTGAGCGAATAAATGGGATGACGACTGCAAACTTGAACTCCTTAACAATAGAGTCGATAAAAAGCTTATCGATCGCTCCTCGGCGTTCTAAATAAAACATAATCACGTTTCATGACAATTAGTGCGCATTCAAGATTATAAATACCCACTTTTCGTTATCTTTTCAGAGATGGGCTTCGAAGGCTCTGTGGATTCAGCAAAAATATGCGTTGGATCGACCCATCGCTGATGCCTATATCTAATATAGTTGCTCTTGATGAGTTGAGTATTTCGGTAGCGCTTGATAATCGTTTGTTGAATTTCACTTAGACCCACATCATGAATCAAGAGACGAGTTTCTGGTGCGTATAAGTGCATTGATCCAATCAAATCTTCAACGTCGACAAACTGGGAAGAGTTGCACTGAGTTGTATATATTGGGCTATCAATGTCATCACAGTAATACAAAATGTTGATAAATAAGAGAATCGCAAAGGTGAAGCAGACATTTCCTGTAATACACCACACGCAAATTTTTCGAGCATTCTTGGAACGGAAACGTTTTGCACACATGTTTTCTTCTGACGCATTCACTATTCAACAGTATATCAGATATGAATTAGAAAAAAATCTCGACTTACAAGAACTCGAAAGGATTGGTAATGAGTTCCTTACTGACAGATATAGGTTTGTTTCCGTTACCCTTAGCCAGGATCTTTCATGATGATACTAAAACCAATGAAAAGCTGTTGATGTAATCTCTGTCGAGTGCAGGTGTGCACAAGATACTTCTGTTTACGCTTTACATCCACATTCCAGAGACTCTGAAACTTGAATTTTCTATCACAGCAGTTTCTCAATCAGATATTAAGATAACTATAATTTCAAGTCGCTAGAACAATATCGCCATTAGATACATATGATTCTTCACAAAATCTGAGGACTCATCAATTTGTGTGTTCCTGGTATTGTTGATAAACTTATTGGAGGTTCACCCAAACGTAGCGATTTTTGCACGATAAGCATGTCCAAAAGAGTTGTATTCAATATGAAAGTTTCAAGTCTAAGAGATATTTTTTCTTCACATTTCCATATCACGACTAAAACGCAAAAAAGGGTGGTGTTTGTATGATGGTAAAGGCCACAGAAAAGTCCAAATATCGCTAGAATGGAACCATGTGCTTTCAAAAGACTCTCTTCAAAATTAGCGAAGGACTTTCTTGTGCAAATGTGATAAATTGGGTGACAGCGTCCGAAATTGATTTGGTCATTTCTGTCGCTGCTTAGATTGTCTCGTTGGTAGAATTTTAAAAATTGGAATCCCTCATATATTTGTGTCGCATTCTGTCAACTAAAACCTTGAACGATTGTGTTGCTTCAGTGTAAAAAAAATCGTAGAATACTAAACCCTATGAAAAGGGTTTAGGACTGTAATAAACCCTTTTCGTAGGGTTTAGTATTTTACGATTTTTTTACAGTGTTTGGTATGCAGAACATATGATACCCTACAATATGCCGGTATTCCACATAAAAGAGATGCCCAAAGAAGTAAGATACATATGAAACTTCAATGTGTTATAGGCAAAAAGGAAATAAGACCAGTACTTATCCAACGATATATAATACGTATGTTGGTTTGATATTTGTTGAGTTGCGAAAAGCATGGTCTTTTTTCCTAAAAACTTAAATATTTTCCACAGCTTTGAAAGTTGCGAAAAGAAATCATGCTCTATACGCACGTGTGTACACATGAATTTAAAAAATTGCTGAAGATAGAAAGTCTTACATAAACCCAGTCTACAGATCCTGGAAGTTTCATGCCACTGGGAAATACTTGTGCCTATTGTTCGAGAGATACAATGAATTACTCGTATGGCGGATGTAGGAAAGATAAGAGGTATGGAAGGTATAGGAAGCACAGGAGATATTAGTATTTGGACACAAAGAAGGGTAGATATTGGAGAACGCGCCAGTGTCTCTTAATCTCAGAAATACGCTGTAGTTCTATATCTCTTATATCACCTACGGCAATACTTACTTGAGTTTCTTCGGAAACTCTGAAAAACATCTAATTTCCATTTTATTCTTTGAAATGGTTTGTGTCATTTAAGAAAAGCAATCAACCTATGACATCATCGACGCTATCTAGGATATTCAAACTGAATAAATGATATGGGCTTTGCCTACTTTTGTTCATACTTCGGATCTTGAGGATGTGGGTGTGGGTGTCGGAAGAAGTGTCTTAATCTCACCCACATCCTACAGACAAGTAAACTATGTTTTCTTTATGTGAGCCTGTTCATTTTATTCTGAATGATTGTTGTCTATGATATTTATATTAATATAAGTTTAGATTATTTTGGCTATTGCTCTTTTGCCTTATTCATGTTGAAAATAGTGGTTTACATAAATATGTATCGTGTAGGAACCCATGTCAATGAGTCCAGAGGACGGATACCGTAGGAACCGACCGGGAAGATACGGAAAAATCACCGTATCTGGCCAGAAAGTGCGGGAAAGCGCTGGGAAATAGAAGCAGTACTTTGCACGGAAATTGACGGATTTTTTTCCGGTGTATTCCGGTCAACTTCCAGCCGCAAAAGCACAGGAAATTGACCGTAATCCATAGGAAAAAATCCGGTAGTTCCTGACTGGAATAGTGGTTCCACTTTCCAGCGATTTCCCGTGCTTTCCAGTCGTTTCGCACCGTAATTATACAACCTGGAATGATTGTGGGTTTGGGTGCTTTCTCCCTCACATGCGTCTATCCACCCCACACTTAGAAGCTGAATGGTTCATTTTTGAGGATTTTTGTACGGAAACTGAGAAATCGTAAATAAATTACTGCGTAGTAAACCTGTGAATATTAAATCAGTTCAAGCATACTTGTTGTTTGGTTGGGAAATTTTAAATAAAAAGTAAGTTGAATATTTTTACTCACAATCGAATCGTTTGTTCAACTGTTTTAGACTGAATGGGTGCTGAAAACGAAGCATTCATGGTGTATTTGGAAGGTGCGCCTAGTTTATAGCTAGAAAAGCAACGAATCGAAAATAATTATGCAGTGAACTAAGTGAGTACTGTACTAATGCTATTGAAGCAAAATTTCAGCTACACAGAAGGTGGTTTCAGTGTACCGTGGAAGCACGTCGTACTTAACTGTATCTCCGGAAATATTTTTTACGTCTATCGAGATTGTGGCCGAGCAGACAAAAATTTGGAATAACATGTTTAAAAACTCAAGTGGGGGCCACGATTTCGAGTAATTAACATTAGTTGTGATCACGCAAGAGATGTGTTATTTGTACAAAAATTTAATTTCAGAGTGTGAAAACGACCAAGAAGTTCTGTGTTAAAGTGCTTGATTATTCTAGAATTTTGAGAACAGCCCGTTTTGACACCGAAAACAGAACTTATCGACGGTTTCCATACACTCTAAATAAAAATCGTTTTCTTGGAAACCGAAATCCCTTCGCAAATCCTTTCGGAAACTCACAAACGTATCCGGAAAGGTTTTCGGCTCTCAGCTGAGTTTTTGAAATCACCTTACAGGTTTCCGAGTTCCCCGAAACGGGTCGGTTTTCGAGAATTCGGATAGGAAACCTTTAACAGTTTTCTCGGAAACCATCAAACAATTTTCGAAACCCAAAAGTTATCCTCGGAAACCGTTTTTGTCTTGAAAACCTTCTCGGGAACTTAAAGCGTGTCGTCAGGAACCTTTCGGTTTTCGACAGCTTTTTTTCGGGAACCTTTTGGGTTTCAGGGGATCAGAAACGTTGAAAGCGTATGCCAGAATACTAGCTTGGTTTCCGAACATATCTCGAAAACCCTTCGAGGTTTCCAAAGTATTAGAAACCTATGAGTTTCCGAGAAAATGTCCCGGAAACCCATCAAACATAGTGGAAAACCGAACTAGTATTAAAATTTCCTCTTTCTTATTTTGACGTTGTCATTGTATAATTTACATTTTTAGGAGTTAATCGGCAGCTATAACAGAAATCGTCTTCACTCTCAAAAACAAAAGTCACATATGAAACTATTTATTGTTCTAGCCAAAATACTGAAACTTTTAAGGTTTCACTCGTTTATTAATAAACCATCGAGGTTCTAGCTAGTTTAAAGAACCATCTCAGATCATCGATAGTTACGAACGTTTGGAAAGGTTCCGTCCTGCACCATTTTTGTTTTGTTAAACGATTTCTCCAAAGATGGTTTTGGCTTGAAGCCCGATACGATATTTTCCTAACGTCATTGAAGTAATATACATCACGCATAGGTTACCGAGGTGTAGGAATCAAACTCCTGCAACACTTTTCCGATCTGAGCTCCCGTTGCTCAGAAATTAGGTGCATTGAAAATTCCGTGGCTGCAGAGTTAGACTTTTTCCTTCAACTCCGATCAGAATTCTGATTGAAGTTTGAAATAGGTTATCGTTGTCGAGGAATCCAAATCCGTCATCAATTTTTCAATCCTAGCTCCCATTGATCAGAAATTGGGTCCATCAATAAATCGAGGGCTGTTAAATTAGGCGTTTCATTTCAACTCCGATTCCAATTCTGATCGAAGTTTGAAATAAGTTATCGAGATCCAGGAATCCAATTCCGGCATCGTCGACACCGAGCCTGAGGATCAGAGCCGGATTGATGGATATGGGTAGGTGCTTTTTAATAATGAATTCTATGGTAACCCAGGTCATTATTGATCAGTCGGATCTTGTCGGACGGGTTATAATTCCGATGTCACACGGTGACCAGATTCGGTCGGTTAATTTCTGGTGAATTCCGATTATTCTCTTTGTTTTCTTATACAATCTGGTTGCCAAATTCTCCCAGAACCGGCCAGATCAACATTCCCGGAAAATATCAGATCAGATGATATGAAACGGCCGTATCC